TACAGTCTTTATTTTTCAGTTAAATATATGTTTATTAAATAAAATCTAATGTTACAACTAATCGGGGATCCCTTTAAACATTATGGGGTTTATGAGGGGGTCCCTGGAATTTTTTCGCCCTTGTAAGTGGTCCCCAGACCCAAATGTCTTGAGAAGCCCTGGTCTAAAGAAGCTAAAACGACGGCATCAGGTGATGTCACACCTGCTCACTGCGTATGATAGACGGTGGGATGGAGAAGAAATATCCAGCCTTCACTCCCTCCATTGCAACAGAAGGTTTCCCATCGAAGGCATGAAGAAGAGCTTTCTGGACCCCTGGTGGCAGAGTGGAGGAACTGCAGCTGGTTAAAACATGGTCATGAAAACACAAAACCAACCTGAGCCACTCACCTTGTTCCTTCAGCAGGTGGATGGTGGGCCTTCCTGCAGATCTTGAATGAACATTTCTACAAAGAACACACAATATGTTGTGTTTCTGACTCAAACATTGGAACTGTAACAACACTTGTTGTGTTTCTGCCTCTCTATGGGCGTCACCTTCCTGAAGCAACCTGGACTCAAACCTGCTGCCTCAGGRTCACAAGACTGCAGCACTGACCGCCAAACTACCGCGGCCCCAACTGTAGTAAAACTAGACATGTAAATAAATACATAAATAATTACTTTTTAAATCAACAACCTTTGATCTATATTACTGGATTGGACACACGTGACTTATCGTTGCTCTGCATTGAGTTTTGACTCGGGAACATCCATGAATGGTGGTAAAAAGGGGATGTAGCATACAGTCATGCAAGGAATATCAAAAAGGGATGCAATACTTTGCCATAAATTGTCAACAAGATCACAAGATCAAGGTTTTCACATTTTACAGGTCATTAAAATATTTTTTATTTTAAAAAATGTCAGAGATGCAGAAAGTAGGTCAGCTAGCTTCATTTTGACAACCTTATGTTGGGTAAACCAACAAAAAGACAAATTTTCTGTTCCAACAAATTATTATTATTATTATTTTTAATTGTTATTATGTTAGGATAACATTGTGAGAGCTAAATATAACGGACAACAGTAAAATTACCTGTACTACTACTAGGCTGAACTGTTTAGATATTACTGGTACACACATCAGGACCCCCTGCAGTTTGCTTATCGTCGTGGAGTTGGAGTTGACGACGCCATCATACACCTGCTT